TGGTGACCTTTGACTTCCCCTTTTCTCTGGAAGTGGCTTGCACTTTGTCTTATCCTGAGCAGAATGCTCTGTGTGTGTGTGTGCACACACCCATGCAGAGCCTGTGTGTGTTTGTGTGTGTCTGTGCGCATGTGCATGCCGATTCTCCTTAGGCACCCCTTATCTACACTGGTGTCTGCTTATCTGTGTTGGCATTGCTCCAAGTGTTTGGTTTCTGTTCATCTCAGCATCTATGAAATATACTGTTGTGGACCCACCATGTTGGCCACAATGAATTCTGAATTCTGACCACCTTGATGGACCTGGGTTGTGGCTTGCTCTGCCCTCTGTCTCTCTTTTTTTTGTTTGTTTGTTTTTATTGAGACAGGGTTTCTCTGTGTAGCCCTGGTTGCTCTGGACTCATTTATAGAGTAGGCTCCATCTGCTTCTGTCTCCCAAGTGCTGAGATAAAGGCATGAGCTGCTTGCTTGTAACACACCATGGACTCTTTCTGTGGTGCCTTCTTCTCAGCAGCTCTTACTCTTTTTCTTAAATTTGAAGGGATTGAAGCACATGTATGCAGAGGTCAGAGGACAATTTGTGGGAGTCAGTTCTTTCCTTCCAGCATGTGGTTCCTGGGGATTCTACTCAGGCCATCAGCCATGGCAGCAGGTGCCTTTACCTGCTGACCTAGTTTGCTCTCTATTGCAATAATAAAGACACCAACAACAGCTTGGAAAGGAAGGGGTTATTTTGTTTGGCTTACACATCCTGATCTCAGGTCGTTGAGGAAAGCTGAGGCAGAAACTAAATCAAGAGGCCATGGAGGGGTGCTGCTCAACCTGCTTTTTCTTGTGTAACCCAAGGCCCCCTGCCAAGGGAAGACCCTGCTCACAGCGAGCAGGGGCCTTCATTAATCATTAATCAAGCAGATGCCCTCCACAACTTGCTTCCAGTCCAACCTGGTGGAGGCAGTTGTGAGATTTCCCTCTTCCCAGATGACTCTAGTTGTGTCAAGTTGAGCAAAAGCCAGCCACCACACTCACTGAGCTGTCCTGCCTCCCCACAGCTCCCTTTCGTGTTTATTATTTTGGCAGTACTGGGGATTGAACCTTGCAATGCAAGGGCTCTGCTACCAAGCTATAGCCTCACTGCCTTTTTATTTTTGAGCTAGTCTTATTAAGTTGCTCCAAGCTTGCCTTGGACTTGTTAACCAGCCCAGGCAAGGCCTTGAACCTGCAATCCTGCCTAAGCCTCCTGAGTTTCTCTCTTCATTCCTTGATGCTCTGGTTGTTGAGAGTGAGAACTTTCCTGTTGAGCAGTGATTCCTCCTAGAAGTCTTTTTTCTAGGGAGTTATATTAGGGTTCTCTAGAGGAACAGAGCATTATAGATGTAGATATGTAGACATAAATATATATGTGTTACACATAAACATGGGTCAGGCAGCCCAGTGGCTGTGCAGGCTGGAGAGGCTGAGCACCCTGGATGAGGGTGGGTGCCTCAGTGGTCCCAATCTGGCATTGAAAGCCCGGAGGATTCCTGGAGAGCTGCTGTGGATTCAGTCCATATTGGAAGGTCAAAATTTTCCTATGTTAATGAAGGATGGCAGCGGCAGAAACAATTGATGCATTCACCATCCAGGAGTGAAGGCAGTCAGGCAGAAATAGCTCAGATTTTCCCTCAGACTCCTCTTCGTGTTTGTCTGGGACACACATTCTCTCCCTGCCTTCAAGCTTTGGCTCATTAGCTCCCTTCCTCTCAGTTACCTGAAAAGGGTGACTTTCAAGACAATAATCTACTGTACATACAAAATACAAAGTTCAAGTTTAGAGGCCAAGAATTTGTGTCTCAGAGCAGGGTGAGCGGAAAGCTTGTATTGGTGCTTGGGTGATGGGGATGAAGCCAGAGGCTCTGGAAGGGCGGTGCACTGAGCTCGCTCAGAGCATGAATGGAGTTACAGTTCCCTCCTGGGACTGATGAGATTATATGCTGTGGCTCTATATTTTGTTTGTAGTTTCTAGATTTTCTGTAAGAAATGTAGTTTTTTTATAATTAGAAATACAAAAAGTTTTTAGCTCTCTATATAAATAAGAGACATGTCTGGTATTTAGGTCTTTAATACTAAAGATAGACTTATTTGCCTGCATGTATGTATGTGCACCAGGGGCTTGTGTGATGTCCACAGAGGTCAGGAGAGGGCATCAGATCCTCTGAAACCAGAGGTGCAGATGGTGGTGAAGCCACCATGTGGGATGAATCAAACCCAGGTCCCCCACAAGATCACAGTTCTCTAAACTGCTGAGCTGTCTCTCCAGCCCCTGGATGGCTTATGTTGATGTTTTGGTGCCTTCAGCTTAAGAAGGGAGCTTGTGGAGTGAAAGAAGGCAGGTGGGGGCTCATGCTGGAAGCTGAGTTTAGGAAGTAGATGTGGACCTCTGTAAGGCAGAGAGAGAGTCGAGGCTGAGGCTGAGGCTGTGACTCCTGCCACCCCTTAAAGGACAGGGGTTTTTGTTGATGGTGGTGTTGGGGTTTTTTTTTTTGTTGTTGTTGTTTGTTTGTTTGTTTGTTTTTCCACAAGGGAACATGACTTTATTAGCTGTGACTCAGGCATTGTGTTAACATGAGAACTGGTCCTTAGAATGCACAGTCCTAACTGGCCTAGGGAATTGTGGCAAACATGGAATCACCCTCAGGATTGTAAACTTACAGAAAGACAAGAGAATCTCTCTCCTCTTCCCATGCCCATCTATTTTTCAGTGCTGGGATGAAACCCAGGGACTGGAGCATGTCAGAGAAGCACTACCACTGAACTATCCCCTCAGCTCTAGAAACCCTTTCTCTCTTAGCAGCAGAACACCGCAAATATGGAGCTATGATGGCTGGAGTGTGCGGTGCTCACCTCACCCAGGTCAGGGGTGTCCTGACTTAAGAGAAAACTATTATCGTATCGATATTGTGTGTATGTTTATAATAGGAGGGTGTCGTGTGAGCTGTGGCGTAAGGGTGGTGGTCAGAGGACAACTTTTGGGACTCAACTGTCTCGCCACCTTGGGTTCCAGGGATCAAGCAGCAAGTACTTTTCCTGCTAAGTCATGTCACTGGTCCAATTTCTTAACTTGTACATGTGCATGAATGCGTGTGTGTGTGTGTGTTTATGTGTGAGGGGCACATGGAAATCAGGATAAGCAGAAGTTGGTTCTCTCCTACATGTGGGTTCTGGGGCTCAAACTCAGGTGATCAGCCTTGGTGGTAATCATCTTCACTCAGTGACGCATCACACCAGCCCTTCCTGAATTTTAAATTCTCTCTTTTGAAAAAGGACAAGCCCCAAGCACTCTGGGAGGCAGAGGCAGGCAGACCTCTGTGAGTTCAAGGCCAGTCTGGTCTACAAAGCAAGTCCAGGACAGCCATGGCTACACAAAGAAACCCTTTCAGAAAAACAAACAAAAAAGAAAATGCACAAGCTGAGGATTTCATATGCCTATTGGGACTGCTCCCCTCACCCCCTTTTTTCCTTTCCCTTTTGAAAAAGAGATCTGTAGCCCAGGCTGGCCTCAAATGCGCACAACCCCCCTCTGTAGTCTCCCGAGATCTGAGATTGGGGGTGAGAGACACCACACCACTTTTAAACTTTTTTTTTTTTTTTTTTTTTTTTGGTGCTGGGGATCCACCTCAGGTGCATGCTAGGAAAGTGCCCCGCCACTAGAATAATACTTCATGTGTCCATCTTTTATTCTTGTGAAGTTTGAATTTCACAGAAGTGTTAGCCAGGGGTTGGTGTGGCCACATCCAGCTCCTCAACTGCTGTCTCCTTGGAGCCATGGCCGTTCCTTCTCAGTCCCTGGTGTCTACAGGAGCTGTTGGAGCTGGGCTTGGCTGTGGTGGGCATGAAGACCTGAAGCCCCTTCTGAAGGCTTCCAGAAGACACAGGCCTGCTGCGCATGTCCCCAGAGGGGACAGAAACCACTCTGGTGTTGGGCTGTGGTTAGAGCTGGGGCACACAGGCAGAGGGTGCAGGCTGAGACTTGTGGCCCTCTGGTACAGGGTGCTGTGAGGAAGGAAATGGGAGTTAGGGTGGAGATAAGTTTCTTTTCAGGGAGAGTAGCTGGCGGGAGGTGGGGCTTGCTGTGATGATGACAGTTCAGAAGTGCCAGAGCCCCTTCATTTGCAGCTAGACTAGTGACATCTCAAGAGGGGCCTGTGCATTTTGTCTGGGACTCACTGGCCAGTTGGCAGTTAGGACCAGAGCTCAGGCTGCCCCTTACTCTTCCTGCTTCGACAGGCAAGGCCTGGAGCCTTGGGAGTATGTGGAGTGCCTCCCTCACTGTGCCCAGATGGAGTTGATGGCTCCTGAGGGACTTAGGCCCACAGTGGCTGTGACAGTGCTGGGGTCCTTCCTTGCATTAGAAGTGATGGGCCAGCTGTGCACACCAGCAGAGCCCCGTCACCAGCACTGAGTTTTACAAACGTGAACAATGGATAAATGAGTCTGCAGTTGATTGCTGGTTTTGAGTGCATTGTGACCTGGATTGTCAAGGTCACTTGAGAGACTGCTGTTGTTGCCCTTCTACACCGCCCCCCCGACCCCCCATCACTTCCTGACTCTGGTCTTGGAGCTACTTCCGGCTTAGAAAACAGGAATCCTGAAAAGTGATGGGCCTTGCGGGGTCGTGAGGTCAGGTTACTGTGGTGCTCCTGGCATCTGCGTAGACAGTAAAGTGTGGCTTCCCGTTATCCAGAACATGTAATATCCTTAATGTCAGGCAGCCCAGATGTGAGGAGGCTTCGGATGGAAACTGTGGAGGGCTGGATGGGGTGAGGAGGGCCGGGAGGTCCCCCCAAAAATGTCTTTTCCTGACGGAACCACTGGAGGCCCATAGGAGCCTGGAGCTGTACCTGGGAGAGGTAGGATACTACAGTCCACAGAATGGACAGGAGGACCTTCCGCTCCCAAACCTTAGCAAGTAAGGCTCCATTCCTCCTCCCCCAGGGGCCCAGGACTCACCTGGAGACCAAGTCCTCATTGCTGCGGGGGCTGGAAGCATTGCAGAGGGCTGGCCAGGGCCTCACATACTCCAAGGGCCTGCCAGAGACAGCACTGGGGCTTCAGCTTTCTACTCTCACCTCACCTGCTGCCTGGTAGGCACTCTTGATGTGACCTCTTGTGGCACTCCCCAGGCCACGGGGCTCCGGGACATAAAGATGAGGTAGACCCCCGTCCTGTACTACAGCCCCGCCAGTGAACGCACACTGGTCACGGCACACAACCACCTCTCACAATGCACGTCGTTCCACAGCCCCAGCCGTCTATGGCGGCATGTACGTGCTCCCGTCCCACGCTACTGTGACGTGTTCTTGGCTGCTCTGAGACCAAAGCCTGCTCTGTAGATACACTTAGTCGTGGGCCTCTGCACCCCAAGGATCCAAGACATGGGGCCCTTGAGGATCATGGGCCATGGAGGCAGGGCTGTGGGAGCAGAGGGAAGTCCTGGAATGAGGAATGGGTGTACCTGGCAGGTGGTGTGGGCATCCCGGCTCCTGGGTACCAGGGCCAGCAGCTGGGGCGTGTGCCGTTCCACAAACTGCTGGCACTGAGGAAGCAGACACACAGTATTAGGACCCCGTCTGTGACAGAAAGTCCTGCAGTCCTAGCATTCTACCCCCTCGGCCACTCTGAACCTTCTGATCGTGTGTTTGCCTCTGTCAGTGCCTGGCTGACTAGTAAGACTCTACCTAAGGGTTGGAGAGACGGTTCAGTGGTTAGGTACTTGCCGCTCTTCCAGAGGACGAATGATGGCTCTTAACCATCCTTAACTCCAGTGTCAGGGCATCTGCTGTCCTCTTCTGACCTCCTGGCCACTGCACACAGATGGCGCTCATGCATGTATACACACAGGATAAAATAAGTCTTTTAAAGAAAGACTCCACCTAAGTGTGACCATCTGAAACAGGTGTCTGTGGGGAAGCCGGGTATTGGAGCTGGGAAGGGGTGAGCTGCATGCCTCACAGCACCATCTCATGCCTGCCTAGCATGTGTGAAACCTCCAGTTTAAACTTGCCAAGCCTCAGGAACCTAAGCGTAGTGGTGCATGCCTGTAGTCTCAGAACAAAGAGGTGGAGGCAGGAGGATCCGAAGTTCGAGATTGCTTTAAGTTACATGAGATCCTCTCTCTAAAGAAAGTCCTTTTTCAGCCTAGTGAGAGAATTTATCGTAGGCTCACAGAAGCATCAACTTGAGGGTTGTTTGTTTATTTGCTTACTTGTTTGTTTGTTTTCAAGATGGGGTTTCTCTGTGTAATCCTGGCTGTCCTGGACTCACACTGTAGACCAGCTGGCCCTGAACTCAGAGATCTGCCTGCTTACGGTGTGTACCGCTACAGTCTGGTTTTAAAATATCTTAACATTAGGTTTTATCTATTCATTTGAGTGTGTGTTCCAGTGCGCATGTGTGGTCAGAAGGACAGCTTACAGGAGTTGACTGAAACCAAGAAAGGACAGCACGACTTTTCTACTGGGGCTAACAATGCTTTTCTTGTACTTGGCCTAGAAAGAAGGCCTGTTGACGCTGCACAGCCCAAAGCTTTGGGCTCAGCGATGTCTCTCAGTGAGTTACAGTTGTGACACTGCCATCATTTTCACAGCCCTATCATTTCCTGTCTATCCGTCTAGGCTCCAGTCCAGTGTCCTGTGTGTCTCTGGCGACAGAGCCTCTCCCAGCTAAGGCCCCAAGTCCTGCCTGTGTGCACGTTCCTGTACCTTTTGCCTGTCTAGCCAGAAGTGAAGGCAGGCCTGGCGCATCGCCTGGGGCCTGGCCTGTTCACTGGAGTTCCAGGCCCGGGCAATCACAGACTTGCAGAGATGGCACTCAGTGTTCTGTAGTGGCCATTCTTCTGTCAGCGGCTCCAAAGCAGGGAGGGCTAAAGAGAAAAGAGTCAAAATTGTTCAGCAGGCTGGGCGTGGAGGCATATACCTTATCACACCAGCCCTTGAGAGAAGCAGGCAGGAGGATCGCACCAAGCTCGAGGCCAACCTGTGCTGTGTAGTAAGACTCTGTTTTAACCTTTCCCCCAGGGCTATTTTGTACAAGTGCTGGTTCTGGGGGTAGAGAGATGGTTCCGGGGTTAAGAGCACTGGCTGTTCTTCCAGAGGACTGGGGTTTGATTCCCAGAATCCATATGGTGGCTCCCAACTGTCAGTTATTCCAAATCTAGGGGATTGGACATCCTTTATGGCCTCTGGGAACCGACGCACACGTGGTGCATAGATGTGCATGCAGGCTCGACACCCATATCCACACAAAGGAGCAGTTAAAGTAGTGTTGCTTCCCGTCACTCACCTGGTCAGCTTCCCTCCCTCCCCACATGTGTGGTGTAGGGATGAGTTGGGGAGGAGCGAAGGAGGTGACAGGGGAGGGACGGCAGGCTTACCTGGGCCAGCGGCGTCCTCGTCCTCAGTGGAGCATCGGAGGACCAGGCCACAGACTAGCTGGGGCACCACCCGGCCCAGCAGCGCGTCGAGCAGGAGGACTGTGTAGCGTTCAGCCAGGCACTGGCAGATGCCGCCCACCACCAGGGGCACCACGTGGCACACCTGGGACACAGCCACGGCCAGCACACCCTGGGGTGGGGGCGGACAAAGGACACGTGGGACCTTCCTCTGGCAGGCGGGTCTCATTTGGGCCCATCTGAGTGGGCACCCCGGACACACCCCTTTCTCTCTCTTCTGAAGGAGAGCAGTGCTGTGCACGGGAGCACAAGATGGCAGGGGACTCAGTGACTCAAAGTCACCAAGTGACTGAGAGAGTCAGTAGCCCCAGATCCGGCTCCAAAGGCTTTGGAGTCACTCGAAAGGGGCGGCGAGGCTACGGCTTCTAACAGCCTGGCCCAAAGCTAGAGCTCAAAGCCCATTTCCTGACCCAGGGCCACCTGCTTTCCCATGGCCACCCGTCAAGAGACAGACAGTTCCTTCCATCGGTCCCCACAGCTGACATGTCCTCAACTTTAGGGGCCCTTGGGAAAACAGCACTTCTCCCATCCCACTCTAGTTCCAGGGAAGCGCTAAGCTGAAGGGCAGCAGAGGCCACAGTGTGCGGCTTTATTCAGTCCTTGTGACAACCCCTTATGCCAGGAGGTTGAGGCGGGAGGAGGGTTCAAAGAATGGACACCCCGGAGTGTGATACCTCCCAAATGGGGCGCTTCACTCAGGTCCCCACCTGTTATCAAGCCACACATGGCTCTCCTCCTGTTAGGTGACACAAATCAATAGCCACTGTAGTCAATGACCACGCTGTTCACGGGTGACATGGGCCTCCTTGCTGGGCTACCTCCACCCATGCCTCCACTGGCCTTATTCTCTCCCTGGCTTCCTGCTTTCTGGAGGACATACTGGAGTGGCTTCTGACCTTAGGAAGCCTCGTCTTGCCTTTTGGGACACATCCGCATTCCCTGCCCAATTCTCACCCTGCGTGATGGTCAGGAGCTTTCTGACCGTAGGACGCCCTTCTCTTTTGGCTTCCCTGGCAACACACGGCCATCCCCCACTTTGCTGGCTGTTCCCTCTCAGCTCTTCTGAGGCTGTCTCCATCTCTCCGCACATTGTCTCTTGATGGTCTTGCTCAGGCTTTTGGTCCTTGACTCGGTCTTCAGTGTTGTTCAGACTGATATGGCTGGGTTTTTGTTTGCATGTGTATGTTCTTGTATGTGTGCAGATATGTGGAGCCTACAGGTCAATGTTGAATTCCTTAGTCACTCTCACATTATTATTATTTTGTTTTTTGCTTTTCAAGGCAGGGTTTCTCTGTGTAGCCTTGGCTGTCCTGGACTTCACTCTGTATACAGGCTGGTCTTGAACTCACAGAGATCCACTTGCCTCTGCCTTCCAAGTACTAGGATTAAAGGTGTGTGCCACCATTGTCTGGCCACCGTATTACATTTTAAAGACTGTTTTTATTTATCTATATGTGTGTGTATCTGAGTATATGAATGCCGCAGATGTGCAGGTACCTATGGGTGCCAGGAGAAGGCACTGGATTCCCCCAGCAGGAGGTACAGGTGGTTGTGAGCTGCCTGAGAGGGGTGCTGGGAACCCAGCTTGGTCCTCTGGAAAAGCAGCAAATGCTCTTGACTGTTGAGCCATATCTCCAGTCCCTCCTTGTTTTTCTGAGTCAAAGTCTCTCACTAGATCTGAAATTCATCCTTTTGGCTAGGCTGGCTGGCCAGCAAGTGCCAGGGATCTGCCTATTTCTGCCACCCCGGCATGTAGGTTACAAGTGTGCATTGCTACCCCCAACTTTTTATGTGGGTGCTAAGGATCCAAGTTCAGGTTCAGCAAGTACTTTTTTCCACGGGCTTCTTCCCTGCTCCCTGAGCTCATTTTTTATTGATGGATGTCGTTGGTCTTATTTTCTCCCAGATTCTGGCTTGTTACCTCTTCAGGGTTGTTCCCTGGCCTACCTGTCTAACAACTCTCATCATTTTACCTGTGTGAACCCTGCAGGTTCTATAATCTGCAAGTTCCTTCCACAACACAGGCTTCACAAAGGCTGGAATGAGTGCCCTGTTGTGAGTCTTAATTACTGACGTGGCTTCAGGACCCCAGCAGTGTTGACAGGACATGACAGTTTGTGGGCAGGACAACCCTGGGCTGACAAGGCCACTGGGAGAAGCCGCCATGGATTTGGAGGACAGAGGGGATGGAGATTATTGGTGAACATTCTTTTTTGAGACACTGAAGCATTTTTTTCCCTACAGTGGCAACTAGGGCTTTTCAGCCTTCAGATAGTGAACTGTTGGAAGAGAGGGCTGGCCCTGACCTCACGCCTCATATCTGAGCCTCAAGGTTCCTTGGGTAGAGGACATGCATGGGTGTCTCTTCAGCTAACTCCTCACAGCCTTCTTGGCGAGTTGAGGTGAGGGAAGGTGCACTCTTGGGGGTCCCCCTGAGCTCTGTGTGGTTCTGCACACGGAGTCCTTACCTTGGGAATCACAGCTTGGACCCGCTTGATCAGAGTCCTGCAAAGCCAGCAGAAGGGCAGGGGGATGGGGAGCTGTTGCTCAGAGAGACCCTGAGGAAGGACGGAGTGAGGTGGGGTTAAGGCTTGAGGTACCATCCCGGCCCTGCCTATCTCACCTTGCTGTCTCAGCCCCCTAGTTCAAGTTCTGCCTGGTTCAAGTTTTGTCTCTTCTTAGCTCTGCCCCTCTGAGTGCTCATGTGTCCCAACGGCCACTCTAGCTTTCTGGATTCCCCATAAGCAGCTGTTGGGGCATGGGGTGGGGAGGGCTGGCTTACCTGGGTGTGCAGCCCAGGCCTTGCCAAGAGGGCTCCTGGCAGCGCAGGGAGGGCCAGCTTGTCCAGCAGAAGGTCTGGAATAGCATCCACCATCTCTGGCTTCTGTTCTGGCATAGCCTGCCCAAGTGGGCACAGGCCCACATGGTTGCAGATGGCTTTTGGGTTCTAGGGCACAGAACAGGTAAGGGCTTTTAGGCTCGGGAAGGATCCCCCTCTCCACCCAGGCTCATACACAGGAGCCACAGTCTTTGAGTCTGGAATTATGGGGAGCAGGCTGGGTGGAGAGTTTAAGGGACAAAGACAGGGATGGGATCAGGTAGTGCCTTGGGCGGGTGTCTGGGAAAGTGAATGTGAGCATATTGTGTGAGAATAAATAAGAAAGTGGATGCGTATGGGTGAGGGCTGGAGGGCATCTGAACGTCTGTAGTATGTTGTGCAGGTAGGCTCCGATCTGGGTGTCCGGAGGAAGGGACTGAGTTTCCTGTAGTGGGAAATGTGTCTGTGTGTGTCTGTGTCTGTGTGTATGCTGTGAGTGGGTCTGTGTCTGTGTGATGTGTGTCTGGGGTTCTGTGCATGTATCTGATTGAATGGTATACGTGGGTGTGTGGGTATGGATAGGGTGTTTGTGTGTATGGCTGTGTGGGTGCTGTGTATGTATTTGGTAGAATGTTCCATGTGTGTTTGTATGTCTGTGTGTGTGTGTCTGTGTGTGTACTATGTTTGTGTGTGTGCTGTGTGTGTATGTCGATGTGTGTGCTGTGTGTGTGTCTGGGGTTCTGTGTGTGTGTATGATTGACTGGTGTAGGTGTGGATGCTGTGTATGTATCTGGCTGAATGTTCCATGCATGTCTGTTTGTGGGGTGCGTGAGTGTTGGGCTGCCACTTATATGAGTAAGTGGCCACTTAGGCACACGGGATGTGTGGCAAGTGTGGCAGGCAGGTCTGGGTCCTCACTATCTGGCTCTGGAAGTAGTCGATAACCAGGGGCAGGTAGACATCAAGCACTTGGCGACACCGGGGCACGAGCAGCTTCAAGGGAAGGATATCGCATTCTTGCTCCAGGGACTTCCGGATTGTGTCCTGGGAGGGCAGAGAAGGGAGGGCTAGCCCGGGCTTGCCGAGGTCTGCCCCCACGGAAGCAAGGCCTCCACCAGAGCTCACTGGGTGTGTGTGGGTAAGTGCCTGTGGGTGCACAAGATTATTCTAGAACTGGAGTATTGTGAGCTGTCTGATGTGGGTGCTGGGAACCGAACCCAGTCTTTGAGGAGAGTATGTGCTCTTAGCCACTGAGCCATCTCCCAGCCCTAAGCTCCGTTTCATGAGCCCTTGTGTGGCTGGAGCAGGTGGAGGCTCACCTCAGCCCGGAGATACCCTTCTGGGGAGCTTGCTCCTCCTCACTGGCCCCCTCATCCCTTGTTCCCTAAACATCATGTAGGACCTGGTTCCATTACCTGGAAAATGTCTTCTTTGGTCATCTTTGTGAGAATGTGGACAATATCCTCACACTCTTGGCACAGGTCATTCTGGAAAAAGGGTCTCAAGTGGGCAAATGAGGAAGCATGCCATTGTCTTCAGGGAGCAAGGCTTTCTCAGACACAGGTTGACAGGTCTCTCCAAGGTATAAGTGTCTACCCATTGTCCCATCTTTCCATTTGTGCAAATTGTATCCCATTCTTCCCCATCCGTTTGATCCATTCTATTTTAGTTAGCCTCATCTATTCTATCCCACCCAATACATTCCATCCCGTCCATTTTGTCCCAGCGTATATCATCTTACCCACACCGTCCATCCAGCTCACTGCTTTATCCTGCTTTTTCTCATCTCCTCCCACCCTATTCATCCCCTTTGTGTCATCACATCTACCTACCCACCATTTAATGTCGTACGGCATACCATACCATCATTCCATGCCACCGCAGCCCCTGTGGGAGCTCCTCTTCCCTTAGGCCCATTCACAACCCACGCCAACCCCTTCTCTCCAGATTTCTAGTGCCCCCTGGGGTGCTACTCACAGCTCCTGCATGTCCCCAGACTTCCTGTAGGCAGTGTGCCAGGGCTTTGCACTGCACCGCTTGCTCCAGGTTTTGGCACCAGAATTTAGGGCCTTGTGCACAATCCAGGGACGAGGTCGACTCGACAGCTACAATTAGGGTCAGAGCAACCTCCATCAGGATCCAGTTTACACCTGTCACCTGCCTTCACCCCACCTCCAACCCAGTTTCACTGCAGAAGGTGGCTGTTACTCAGGCCAGGCAGCTCTGAGTCCTCCCGCTTCCTCTCCACTAACTGTGCCTTCGGAGGAGCCCCCAGGGCCTCTCTGCCTGGGAGGGAGGCTGGGGGACTCACCTGCACCCGGGCTGCAGAGGGTAGGCAGCAGCAGCAGCCACTGCAGTAGATGGGACTTGGCCATGGCTGCCTACTGCTTATCACCCTACTTGAGGCAGGGGCTCTTATAGTGGGGGAGAGAGCCTGGGGGCTGGACTCCGTGGGAGCAGGCTGACCTCAGTGTTTGCCTGTGTCTCGAGAGCCCTCTAGCTGTTGGGTTGCCAGGTCTTCTGAGCAGGGCACTCCTGCCCACCTTCCCTGTGCTGGCCCATGTCGGTTGGTTCTCATTCCTTTCCTCGGCCCCCAACCCCGGCTGCATTAGTCTGACTCTGTTCATCTTCAAACAATGGGGTCTTGCTTGCTCCCAGCTCTCTGGACCGTGCAAGGGATGCTGGCTAGGGTCAGCACGAACCTCTCCAGTCCCACCCCAGGCTTCTCCACCCTCCACTCTTATGCAATGCCCTTGAGAGCTTCCTGCCTGGCTCTTGATGCAGAGTGAGGGCCGGAAGGGCACATTCAGGGTGCTCCTGGGGCCACCTGCCTCCCACTCCCTCCTTACTTTAAAACCCTCTGATTCTATATATTCAGAGCTGGTGCTAGAAAGAGGAGCATTTAGACAAAACAAGACGATAAAGTGTCCTGTGAGGCTGAGGCAGGGACCTGGGGCTGAAATTTCTGTGTCCCCTGTGGCTCCCCGGTGGCTTTATCCAGAAGCAGATGCTCATACCCCTGAGTCCCCCTCCTGCGCATGGGATGGGATCAGCTGTGCTAAGGACACGTCCTCCGAGGCTGTGTCCACATCTGGCTGGGCCCTACACAGAAAAGGCTCTCTGCTTGTGGCAGGGCAGATGCTGTTGGCATGGAGGGGCAGAAGGCAGGACACGGCTGCCCCCAGCTGTCAGGACCCCCTTATCTGATTCCTGCCACAGCCTTACCCTACTGAGGCTCCCTCGGAAGTACTCCAGCCCTCACAGGCCCGGCAGGCAGGGAGCTAGTCCCATGATGAAAGTAAGTAGTTGAACACGTGATGATAAAGTAACATACTAGAAGTGGCTCAAGGATTCATCTAGTTTCTGTTGACCTCAAGACCACTACAGCCTGGCATTCCAGTTATAGCTAATAACCCCAGGGAGGGCTAGGAAAGGGCCCTCTTGAAGATCTGCTTCTTCTGTCTCTCTTTTAGTTTCCTCTTTTCTTTCTCTTTTTATTTTTCTTTCTTTTCTTTTTCTTTTTTTTTAAGACAAAGTTTCTTCATGTAGCCCTGGCTGTCCTGGAACTTGCTCTGAAAATCAGGCTGGCCACGAACTCACAGAGATCCCTCACCTCTGCCTCCAAGTATTGGGCTTAAAAAACACTGCCCAGCTTTGTTTTTGTTTGTTTGTTTGTTTTTGTTTTCGTTAGACAAGGTCCTCACGTAGCTTAGACTGGACTCCAGTTCTATAACGACGTAGCTGAGGATGACCTGAGAGTCCTAATGCTCCTGCCTCCACTTCTGAGTCCTGCAGCTTACGGGTGTGTTCTGCCACACGAGGCTTATGTGGTGTTGGGATTACAGTGTGTGCTCAGCATGCTTCATTTGTGTTTCTTGGCTGGCCACTGTTGACACCCATGAGGTCTTGAGTGGCATGACTGCTAGACGCTGCAGCTCACAGACAGGACAGTCCTCCGGGCCTTGTCAACACCTTCAGAGAGTTCTTTGTCTAAAGACTAGTGCCACATCTGCCATAAAATGCCAACAGTGTCAGTGATATTGCTGCTGGGTTTTGTGTTTCCTTGCATCTTTCTGCCTCTTGGTAGGCTCTTGAGGGCTTTGATGGCCAAGGAAGAAGCATCAATTCCACTCTGACCAGGGCCTGTGCGTTCTGAATTCTCAGTATTGCTCCAACCCTCAGACCCTAGGAACTAATCTTAGGCTTAGGAAAGACCTGGCACCACCTTGGCCACTAGGGCCTCTCAGATCCACATCTTTGATGTCGCAGGGCAAGCAGCACAGGGAGGTGACTGGAGTCAGAGGAATCGAGACTTGAGAACCAAAGGAAGTTGAACCTGGGCCTTCTTTAAGCATGTGAACTGAAGTTCCCAGAAAAAGCTATACCCACATGTTAAACATCTGTCTGTGGTGAGCCCAATGTCAGAGATCCATAGCTAAGTTATCGCCTCAAGAGCCAATTAATGCCAGCTCTGTGTGTCACCTCACATCCTTGTGACTATTAGGTAAATCTGTTTAAGATACACAATAGACCCTGAGTCCCACCACTCACGACGCGGCCAGAGAACGTCTGAGGCCTGTGGCAGAGGTTTCCATGGTTTCCTGTAACCACTGCTTGATGTCTCCCCTGATGTGTCAGTGTCTTGGTTTATAACTCTCTCAGCTCTGCCCCACCCCCAAAAAAACAACCTTCATAAAATTGGAACATATTGTGGGAATCCACAATATGTGTTGCTGGGTCATAGTCATTCATATTGGCCTCTAGAATGGACTCCTAGTCCATGTGAGGCGAGAGCTTATCACGTGTACCAGCAAACTGGAGACCAAAGCCTACTCTTTTATTTTATTTTTTATTTATTTATTTTTTTAAATATTTATAAAATTTTAATTATGCGGAGCTGGAGAGATGTCTCAGTGGTTAAGAGGCAGCTGCTCTTCTGAAGGTCCTCAGTTCACTTCCCAGCAACCGCATGGTGGCTCACAACCATCTATACTGGGATCTGGTGCCCTCTTCTGGTGTGCAGGTGTACATGCAGATAGAGCACTCATATACATAACTTAAGAAAATCTTTAAAAACTTTAATTATGCATAGCTATAGATGAGAAAGGCACGTGAGTGTTATAGAAGGGTAGGCTTGCAGGTAGAGAGCTGGATCTGTGCGTCAGAGTGTTTGCTGCCTTTCCAGAGCACTTATTAACTGAGACCCAGACTCAGGAACTCACACTGTCTAAGCGTGCACTCTGCGGCTGAGCTACAGGCCAGCTCTGAAAACACTAATTACTAAGTTGTATCCTTTAAAAGGTTTCCTTTAAGTGTGTGTATGTGTATATGTATATGTGTATGCCTGCATGCACCTTCCATGTGTGTGCAGGTGTCCTGGAGTCCAGCAGAAGGTATTAGATTCCCTGGGCTGGAATTACAGGAGGTCATTGACCACCTAATGTGGGTGCTGGGGATCAGACCTGGGTCTGGAAGAGCAGCAAGCGCTCTTAAACACTGAGCCATCTCTCCAAACCCTAAATTGTATCTTTTAAAAAAGATTTTTAAAAGGTGTGTGTGTGTGTGTGTGTGTGTGTTTAAATGTGCACACAGAGTGTGCACTAATATGCATGTTACAGTGGCCAAGGAGAAAGCTAAGTGTCTTCCGGTATCTCTTCCTGTGGGCGGGGTCTCTCTTTGAACGTGGAGTTCACATTTGCTTGTCTAAGTGGCAGCCATAAAGTCCTGGTGACCCTCCTGCCCCTGCCCATCTCAGACCTGGGGCTGCAGATCTGAACTCTGGTGCTCATGATTGCACAGCAATCTCTCTCAGCCACCGAGCCATTTCTGCAGCCCCTCACACGTCTTTTAGGTATTTTATGTTGTTTACGTAAAATAGAAAGCACAGATAAAGCTCATTTTTTGCATGGGAGGTTTGATGTTATCCCAGGGAACAGCATTTGCACAGCTGTCACAAGCCAAGCTAAATCCTTCTTCTTGGAGAACACTCCTCCCTTCCCCCTCCCCCCGTGGTAAATAAAGTATAACAGGCATCTCTGTGGTAGAGTGCCCGTGCAGTGTAACCCCTGTACCACAAACCCCAAGGAACAGAAAATTTATCATCTTAATTGTTTTTGTGTGGCCAGGTCTGAAGTTCTGAGTAAATTCACGCTGTGAAATAGATCTCCAGGATGCTTTCATCTTGAAAAGCTGATGCTCTGTACTCATTAAACTCCTCTTTGTTCCTTCTCCCAGAGTCTGATAACCATCATTCTTTCTGTTGTTCTGAATTTGTGGGGTTTTTGGTTTTTGTTTTTCTCATACTGGGGATTGCTCTACCAGCTCTGTTTCTACTATGTGTGTATGTAATATATATATGTATATATATATATATATGTATATATATATATATATATATATAATTTGACTTTGAACTTTTTTTTTAAAGATTTATTTATTATTATTTATACAGTATTCTGCCTGCACAACAACAGAAGAGGGCATCAGATTTCATTATAGATGGTTGTGAGCCACCATGTGGTTGCTGGGAATTGAACTCAGCACCTTTGGAAGAACAGACAGTGCTCTTAACCTCTGAGCCATCTCTTCAGCCCCCGACTTCGAACTTTTGATCCTCCTGCCTCCACCTCCTGTGTGCAGGGATCGCAGGCCTGTGCCACCATGCCCTGCTCATGTGGTACTGGAGATTGAACAAAAGGGTTTGTGTGTGCAAGGCACGCAGTCTACCAACTGAGTTACACTCCCAACCCCGTGTCTTTGAATTTGACAATTTTGGATACTGCTTAGAAGTCAGTGTCAAGCGGGATGTTTGCGTCTTCATACGAGCCTGCTTCACTTAGCTTAAAGGCCTCGTGTTCATTTATCTGGCAGCATGTATCAAGGCTCCCTCCTTTGGAAGGCTGAGGAATGCGCTTCTGTGCGTACACCGTGTTTTGATTATCCAGCCATTCATGGATTGGCGCATGTTGCTTTCACCTTAGCCATAGACTGCCCATAGACTGCTATGCATTTGGGAGTACAAATGCCCTTTTGAGACCCAGCTTTTGACTCTTCCTCTGTGTCAGCAGTGGGATTGCTGGGCTGTATGCTCTCTCAGTTGACTTTAAAAATGAAACTTTTTTGTTTGTATGCTTTGCAGTAACTTGAGGAATCCAGTGTTCCTGATATTTATTATTTATTTCTCTGTGCGTGCTTGCTCTTTCGGCAGTTGCCAACTTAGTGGTGGCTCCAAACTACACATTCACTTTCTTATTTTATGTTTATTTATTTATTTTTGTTGTTTTTTGAGACAATGTTTCTCTGTGTAGCATTGGCTGTCCTGGACTCACTTTGTAGAGTAGGCTGGCCTTGAACTCACAGAGATTCACCTGCCTCT